CCACGTCCCGCCCCTGGTCGCCACCGCCATCATGAGCCACCTCATCTACCACGAGTACTGGATCGGCGCGGACCTCACGCCGAACCGCGAGTGGGACAAGTCAGCCAACCTGCTGATCCAATTCGCCGCCAAATTCCTCGAGATCATGATCATCGGCTCCCTCACCACCATGATCTTCACCTTTGTCCGTCGCGAGGTGACGCTCGGCCAAGGGACACCGCTGGCGGCTTTCTTTGCTGGGAACAGCTTCAGCTCGCCCGAGTTCCTCTGGTCCGACGAGATGACGGCCATGCTGCGGGGGCGCTTCTCGACCGTCTGGAAAAAGGTCTTTTTTGTCTCCTTCCTCGTCATGTGCTGCGTCCTAGCCGTCGTCGTGGCGCCCGCGACAGCCACCGTCCTGACGCCCTTGAACGACTGGTGGATGATGGGCGGGTCGTGGGTGTACATTGATAAAGCCGGCGCCGACATCTTTCCCCGGACGCTGACGGCGGCGGATACGGTGGCCGGCGACGTGTGCGAGAGGGCCGGCAACCTCGACTGCCCGTCAGCCGGCTGGGACTCGTTGACGCATCTCGTGAGTTACCTCCCGTACCAGGCCATTCTCAACGTCACAAAGGGGTCGTACATCCGCATCCCGGCGCTCTTCCCGCTCGCCACGCCGGAATCGATTCTGCAGTTGTCAATGTCCGTTCGCGAACCCGGTGTGCCGCGCGGGTGGGCCGAGTCTCGCATGACGCTGCCGCATCGTGTGACGGGTGCCACGTTGGCAGCGACTACGATGCTCTGGCAGGATGCCCTTACGTTGATGGATCAAAAGGAGAAGAAGTATTACCGCGGGTCGGACTATCGGTACTCGACGTTCCAGGAGCTCGCGTCCATGGAGACTCGATGTCGCGTTACCATGGTCGATGGCAACAACACCACGTCCGGTGATCGTCGTCGTCCTGTCAACTTTCCAGAAGTTCGAAACGAGGCCTCTTTCACCAATAACACCGATATCGTGGCCCTAGAGAACCCGACAACGCAAGCTTTATGGACAACCCTCAACGGAACGACCCCCCAGCTGACCTTCTTCGACATTGATCCCCAAGGAGACCTAGCCGCCAACGTCTCTATTGGCGCTATCGTCTCCCTCCCACGCCAAGGAGGAATCGCCGTCTACGGATGCCTCACAGACGCAGAATGGATCGGCGCCAACACCTGGATCAACATAGACAACCACGTCTGGACAGACGGCTGGCCCTTCCCCGTGACCTGGAAACCCGGCAGCCGCAAAGTCCTCATCGAGACCTCCTTTGCGAACCTGACCAACGCGGCCGTCGACATCGAGGGCACCACCGTCTTCCAGCGCCTCGCCGCCTCCGCACGGCTCGTCGACTCTCCGCTAGGCCTGCCTTGGACCGTCGGCCACGTCGAGACGCTCGTCAACGCTATGCTCGCCAACGGCATGTCTCGCACCGCGCCCGCCGCGAAACCCATCATCACTCTAAAGGACGCCGACAGCGCCTGGTGGCGCAACTTCTTCCCGCGCAAGACCCAGTTTGGGTTCCCCGAGTCCGGCACAGCGTTCGACGTGCCGGAAGCCGTGCGGGCCGCGGCGCAGAGGCTGCATTTCCGGGGCGAGATGAAGGGGTTCGCGTACTCTGCCGGGGACGATACCGTCAGATATTCCATGGTGGGTTTGTTCGTTTACTGTGCCGTCGCGGTGGCGTTCATGGCGTGGAGTCTTGTCGTGGGCGTCACGAGCAAGAGCTGGGAGTCGACGCCGGAGCTGTTGGCGCTGGCGATGCGGAGTCCGCCGCCCGGGGACGAGAAGATGCCGCCGAGTATCTTGGAGGATACGAGTGCGCTGCGGGAGAGGTATTGTATCGTTGCGAGCGGGTCGGATGTGCTGCTTCGGCCGATGGATGGGCTGGAGGAGGTGCCGGAGGAGATGAGGGTGAGGCCGAATGTAATGTACAGATGATGGGAGGGAATGCTTGGCTGGCTGCCATTAAATATACAGGCTTCTCTCATCAATACATCCTGCTGTTCAAGGTTGTGCCATATGTTAATACTCTAGTGAACCTCTTGCGCTTATAATAATTCCTCCATCTCCTGGAGGCCGGACGGTATAAGCCCATCAATTTCAAAGGCGCCATTGACTCCTGATGGTCTCATGGTACGTAGCACCGCCGGATTTTCGAGTCAACTTATGGATTTGTATGGTAGTCCTGTTCGGTATGGTCAGAGAGGTGATTTATCGATCTTCGAGTTTGGCCCGTCATCGCCACATCCTGCGATCACTCGTTGGTTTCTGAATGTTCGTCCGCACTCTGGGCGCTATAAAATACTCAATTGGCCAGCCCGTTTTTGAATTACCTTACCGTCATGGTATCATATCGTCGGGCTTCAGTCATGGTTGGTACGTTTGAGGCTCTCAAGGGGGAATTGGCCTCGAGATTAGTGATCTGCCATTTCAAACACAAGTTCCGGTTTAAGCCGCCATCACCACCAAGAAATCTTACTCTTTACTTTCTTTCTCCAGCCCTCTATTCGTGTTCTTCATGAAATATTACTCGGGAGCCTAATAGACCAGCAATATGAGTCGTGGTGATATGAAGAACAGAGCAGCGGCGAATTGTCTCATCAGCCGTTTTGGCTGGCGTATTTATACAGACATACGGAGAGAGAAAGGGCAGTTTCTAGCCGCTTTCTCACATTCGATTCATCGTACTCATATCGTCCAGCGTATTTGGCGCCAAAATTACGCTGCCAACGAAGCAGAGATCACTACATGGGTCAACGGAAACATGACCTCGGCAACTGACATACAGAGAACATGAAGCTTCGCCCAAGATTAGGGGGTCCAGCGTTGTTATTTCCCCTTTGAGAAATAGTGCCTGTCTTTCCTGGGAAAACATCCCGAGGTCGCAAGATCAACTCTCGGTGAGGCCCTCACGAATGATTCGTCTCAGCCCCGTCACCTTGACTACCCGAAACGGCATACATTGGCACAGAGGCGAGGCCCATTCTGCGACCACATACACGTGATGGCGAGACGCTGCAATGCAAGTATGTCGTGCATATTTTCGATATCTCGAGGGCATTTTGGCTCCGCTTCTGGCGGTTTTTGCGGTCTCGGCCGTAGCATTTGTGGCCTCTTTGCCCTCCACGTGATGGGGTGTTGCTGCGATGCAGGTATGTCGTGCATTGTCTTTGAAAGCTGCTTCTTGAGAGTCTCGGTGTAGATGGCAGTCTCACCGAACTTTCCCTTTATATGAGTTTGGAGTTTTGGGAACTTGAAATTTGTTTGATAGAACTTCTGGTGGTGATCTAAATATGCCAACAAGGACGAAAATGAGGCCGGCGAGTCTCTGGCTTGCATCAGCTCGCATAGTCCCGAGGAACTTTTTCTTTTGCGCATCCTTCCCGCCAACACCCGCAGATGCGTAGGCCATTCCTGCATACTTTCTGCAATGCATTTGGAAAAAAAAGAAAGTGAGGCAAGTCTAGGACCGGAAGACTTGGCGTCTGAAATGCATCGCAATTTGACAAACGCGGCACGTCGACCAAAGCAATCCAGATCTCGGGGACTCGTAATACCGGCAATTGTCCAAGATTCCTTACCTTAGGTAAGCCTTGTGTTCCCCTGAGCGGACCACTCCCGTTCGAGACAAGAAAAATGGCGTAGGCGTAGAGACATATGTCTCTCAACGCCTCTAACGTTTCTGGATGAAATGATGTTTTGGCCAAGAAGAATCCTGCGGATTCACACGGTCACACAAAGATGGCTCGAAGAATCGGGCGGGTCAAAGGCTTTTCACCCAAAAGTGTCCTGGTGTCCCAGTTGCACCCCCACAACCCGGCGATCTGTCTAGGTATTTCTCTCTCTCTTTCAATGGAAAATGTGAGCAAAGAGATCTTTGTCTCCCCATTCCAGTTGTCGTGTCTCAGTTCGACTCAAGAGATGCGCTAGTTGCGGGCGAAATTCCGGAAAGCTGGTTCTTGTATCGTATACTTTCCCAGGGGGAATTCCGGGGAGCAGGTACGGTGCAAGGGACTTGTCAAAGTCGCTGTCGACGCCGGTACTTCTATGTCTCCCTACCTTACCTTACCGGTTGAGTGTCTACCCACTGCTTCGCTCTGGATGTCTTGCGTCCCCTGGTCCGCCATGCTCTCGTTATGGAAGCGTCATGAAAATAGTAGTCGTTCCCACCAAGCTTTCCAAAGGAGGCTCAGTCTCTGAGTCTTTCAGAGGCCTAGCCCCCTGTCCCCCCCCCCCCCCCCCCCCCCCCCCCCCCCCCCCCCCCCCCCCCCCCCCCCCCCCCCCCCCCCCCCCCCCCCCCCCCCCCCCCCCCACCCCCCCCCCCCCCCCCCACCCCCCCCCCCCCACCCCACCCCCCACACAGCACCACCCCCCCCCCCCCCCCCCCCCCAGAATCTCGAGGTGCCCCCAAGACTAAGCTCCTCCCCTGTTCCAAGCATGTCCAATTACAACCCCTGCTACCACGGGCGCGGCGCCACTACTCAAGGAACAAAGGTCCACGGACGCGCTGCACCATATTCTTTTTCAGGCGACTTTTTTTTTCCCTAGGGGCACGTCAACCACCCGAAAGTCCACAGACTTCCTTGACATTAGTGCCCGCCGGGCCCAGATCCAATGGAAACCTGAGTTTGATACTTGCATCGAAAGGTACCACCATTACCATTACCACCATAACCACCGATACCAAACCAGACCACTAGGATACTTTTCCTTTATCCACGACGCACTCGCTACCTTACGAAGCTCTGCTGTCCACTTCTATTTCGTGAGGCATCTCTGCTTACTCCTGCAATGAGGCCCTGAACTCATTTCGTCTTTCTTTCCTTCATCCTCATATACGCAATAGGGCGAACTGCGATAAACTGCTGGCCCTCTCCCCCATCCCCCGAAAGCACCCGACCAACGCTCGAGAGACAAAAGCGACGCAGCTCGCCGCCACAAAAAGGGGCAGGCTGACAGCCAGCAACCAACCATGCGCCGTCGTCAATGGACGGTCGTCATTCTACTCGTCTTCCTGTTGATATGCGCATACACAGTATTCACACTTCCCTCCGATCGACGACCGACAGTCCCCATACCAGGCTCCGACAAACCCCCTCCGCCCCCGCAAGATCAACAGACACTCGGTGACGATGCCGCCGCCGCCGCCCCTCCTCCCGACAGACGACCGAAGTCCGCTGGCGGCACCGGGTCACACCCCATGTGGCACCTCATGACAAGCGCCGAGAAGGAGTTCCAGGATACGCTGAAGCGCCAGTCCAAGACGCTCGAGGATGCCGTCAAGGAGTACAAGCGCCGCTACAACATCCCGCCGCCCCCCAACTTTGACAAGTGGTTCGAGTTCGCAAAGGCCAGCGGCGTACAGCTCATTGACGAGTTCGACATGATACACGAGATGCTCACGCCCTTTTGGGGTCTGAAGCCGGCGACGATACGGGAGCGGGCGCGGGAGGCTCTGGGCTTCGATAACAAGCTGATCGGCCTCCTGATCCGGGACCATAAGATCAAGCACATTCAGGGCGGCTCAGACTGGCAGCGCGATGCCACCTCTGGCATGATGAAGAAGTTCATCGAGCACCTGCCCAGCATGGATATCGCCTTCAACATCCACGACGAGCCGCGCGTGGTCGTCCCTCACGAGGACCTCGCACGCCTCGTCAGCCGCGCCAAGGACGTCAACATGCCCAAGGCGAACGCTGCCATCAACCCGGAGAACGCCTTTACGAAGCGCGCCGCCGGCCTTAGCGAAGGTAACATCATCGACGAGTACAAGCGCACCCGCTTCAACGTCTTCGCCCATCAGCCCACCTGGACGCACTCTCGCATGTCCTGCCCACCCGACAGCCCCTCGCGCGGTCTCGAGGATGACGAGCTGTCCGACGACATGAGCAAGTACGGAGTCAGCGAGCTCGGCTTCGTATACAACGTCACCGCCATGTCGGACATCTGCCTCTCGCCTTCCCTGAGCGCGACCTACGGCTTCTTCGATCGCCCCAACGCCTACAACATCGTCCACGACCTCTTCCCCATCTTCTCCCAGTCCAAAATCTCCTCCTACAACGATATCCTCTACCCGTCGCCCTGGTACTGGTATAAGAAGGTCGCCTACGACGAGTCAAAGGATATGCTCTGGGAGCAGAAGCAGGACCGCCTCTACTGGCGCGGTTCCACGACGGGCGGCTTCTCCCGCAACGGCGGCTGGCGCCGCCAGCACCGTCAGCATCTCGTGCAGAAGCTCAACGCCGCCGACCAGGCAAAGATCTTCATCAACCGCGGCGACGAGCAGACCCCCAAGTGGGAGGTGAAGGAGGTGCCCCGCGGCGACTACCGCGAAATCGTCGACGTCTTCTTCTCGCACGTCGGGCAGTGCGACCCGGGCGACTGCGACGCCGAAAAGGAGTTCTTCAAGATCCAGGGCCACGCCGAGCAGCAGGACGCATGGAAGTACAAGTACCTCCTCGACATGGACGGCAACGCCTTTTCGGGACGCTTCTATGCTTTCCTGCAATCACGCTCCCTCGTCTTCAAGCTCGCCATCTTCCGCGAGTGGCACTTTGAGTGGCTTAAGCCCTGGGCGCACTACATCCCCATGAGTCTGCAGGGCGACGACTGGCTCGAGAGCGTGCGCTTCTTTGGCGACGGCGCGCTGGGGCGCAACGAAGCCGAGCGCATGGCTCTCAGCAGTCGCGACTGGGCGAATAAGGTGCTTCGCAAGGAGGATATGGAGGTCTGGTTCTTCCGCCTCCTCTTAGAGTGAGTTTTACCAACCAAAGAAACCACCTATATTTGCTAATTATTTCGACGTAGGTACGGTCGCGTCATTGACGACAATAGAGACAACATCGGCTTCGCTGTCGAAACTATCCCAGAACCGCCGGTGTAGACACCCGCTGCTGCGTTCGTGCCTGCCAGGTGGCCACACATCACCGTTGGCCAGATTCACGTTATTTGCGTCTTCTATGTATTTTTTTTTCTTTTTCCCCATGGGGGAAAAAAAGCACGAAAAAAAAAGGAGTTCTCTGGGTAAACATCTTTACGCTATGAAACGGGAGGGAGAGGAGGAAGGGACGATATCAAAGTCTGTTTTTCGTTGTTGCTTTTTTTTTGCCCGTTCTTAGAGAGTCTGTCTGTTGTTCCCTTATACCACATGAGATTTTGCTTTCTTTGTACCTTTTTCTGACTCATTTCTGCTCGGTCTCCAAAGTATGCTTAACAGGACGATCACCTATGGCAGAAATCATACATGACGGGAACGAGTCGGGGAGAAAGAACCCCGCCGAGCTCGAGCCGCTGTATGAGAAGAGCTACGTATACTTAATTCAAAGTCATGACAACAACGTATTACTTGACACCATCTCTCTGCTTTGTTCTTGATGAAGGTTGGCAAGTCCGTCAATGCGTCGATTGGACGTACTCAATCATGACAATACAACAATCGCGTGAGAGTGAGTTCATCATTGTGACATCCATGAAGTCTAAAATGGCCACCATCGCGGCTGCCCTGTTTTTTTTTTATTCTTCACGTCCAAACGCCTAAGTGGTTCGTGAAAAAGGAACTGATGTTACATCACCGCGCCTCCCCTCTGACTCAATGTGCCACCTCTTCAATCCTCATCTTCCTCATCGGCATCGGCATCGCCATCAGCGTCCCGGTCCGAGGGAGTACCAGGCGCACGAGAAGTCTCTTCAACCGGCTCGGCCTCTTCGACATAGCCAATGGGCTTCTCCTTGTACCGCTTCATGTTCTCGGCCGGGGCCCCCTTGGGATCGGTAATGGAGATCTCCACCTCGTTGACAACCTGCGTCTCGTCGTCCACCTGACTAAGGGTACGAGCGATATTCTTGGCGCGCTGGGGACGAATGGTCGTGCGTTGGATGACCGGATAATAGTACGCCGCCTTGGGCCTGCCGCCCGCGGAGGGCTCGTCGTTGAAGGCGAGAATGACCTCTTCGCTGTACTTTGTGTTGTGGTCCAGCTCAATCTCTTTTGTCGTCTCATACGCACGCAGGCGCGAGAACTGGAAGCACGAGTTGGAGCCGCTCTGGTACGTGTAAAGCGATTCGTCGTCGTGGTCGGGGTTCTCCGGATCGAACTTGGCCCGGAAGTTGTCGCCCGTCGTCTTGGTCTTGGGGAGGAAGAAGCTGTAGTCCATCAGGTTGGCGGGCTTGGGGTTGCGTGCAGGATCGCGCTCGTGGGCCTCAACGGCGGCCTGGAAGGCCTCGTTCTCCTCGGGGCTTCTGTCCAGCGGGCGGAGCAGACCGCTGAGCAGGCGGCTGTCATACTTGTTGGCGCTGGCCACGGGGTTCGTGAGGAGCTTGACGGTGACGTAGGCGCCCGAGTCGGGAAAGGCGTCGTGGTCGGGCAGCAGCGGCAGAGACTGCGTGAGATGGACGTTTGGTTTGCTCGGGTGGCGATGGCGGGTCGGGTTGCTGAGGAAGCGCTCAGCGCTCTCGAAGCTCTTTTCGATCTTGCGTCTGATGGCGGCCGGTGAGTCTTTGTCCGGCTCGGGGGAGCGACGCTTCTCTGCGCGCTTGATCTTGGGGTTGATGAATGCTCCCGCCGCGACGCCAGCCTTTCTGGGTGCTACGGAGGAAATGTATTCTGTTCTTCTCAGGAAGGAGACTGATGCGTCGGCGTTGCTCTTAGCCCGGCCAAGGGTCGACAGTGGTCTCAGGAGGGCTCTATCGTGAGGATGAACGGCAGGTGGATGCGAAGAGGCTTGGATAGCTGTATCGATGTCAGTACGGAGCTCCCCTTTGGTACAACGCGGCTGCGCTTACAGCTCTCGTCTCCGTCAAAGATACCCGGCATGCCTACCAAGTCCAAGGGCATGCCGAGCTCCGCGTCGACCTCGATGTTGAGAGGCTGTTCTCTTGCCAGACGTGATGCAAATCCCGGCGTTGTATACTGCCCGCTAGCCAGGCCAGTGTTTGGGATGTCGAGGAGCTTGGGAGGATTAGGGGGGGGTGGGAGGGCGTTGGAATATCGGATTCTGGCAATGAAGTCCTGATGGATCATGCGCTCGCCGCCGCGAGGCGCCGAGGACGACATCGTGGCCTTTTAAATGCGTGTGCGTTTGGTGGAATCGTTTCGATATCTGAGTCGCAATTGAGGGTTGAATTGAATTGTTGAGGAGGAGAGGATGGCTTCGAGTACTGGCAGCGGGGAGCTGTCGTCGTCGCGGTCGCGTTGACTAGGAAGGTGCAATTGGCCCAGAAAAGTTCCACGAGGCTGGAGTTTGGGGTACTTTACCTGCACACTGTGGTTGCGCCAGCCAAACGCCCGGACCTCGACCTGTAGCCTTATCAGCTCTATCAGACGAAGACACAGCACCCCCCAAAGCTGTCAACCTGGAAGCTTGACGTTAACGGACACGGAAAAAAAAAAAAGAAGACGCCGTGTCGTAGATGAAGAATCAGAGACAGATTTGTCCTCTCTATTACAATACGTAGTATGAGATGAATGTTTTTAAAGCAAAACCGTCACTCATCAACGGGGCAATGGCTCCCGACCGTGCAGGAGGACCTCCTGATGCGCCCCGTGTAGTTGGCCCGTCGCAACCATCCATGCACTCATACCCGTGGCCTCCTTTCTATAGGTACATACAGTTTGCCTTCGCCCATCGTCGCCATCCAGACTTCGTCAAAAATGTGTATTCATCCTCGCGCACTGTCTAATTTTTCTTCCCTTTCACGTGCCTAGACTCTTACACTTGTCCCACCTCGACGGGCGTGACAACGACATTTGTCTCTCGTAAAAACCCGCTGATTCCATCGCGTCGTAAAGTTGCGTGGCCCCCTTTAGGAGCTGTTCTTGGCGTAGTTCTTCTTGCCAAAGGTGAAGGGAACATAGCGGTACTTGATCATGTGCTGGATCTGCTTGCGCACTGCAAAGGAAGGAAGGTCAGCTGTGTGCCAGGGTGAAATGCCAGGGAGACAAGGCGTGGGGGTAGGAAACGTACTCGTCAGGAAGAAGAGGATGAACCAGTACATGACCAGGACGGGCCAGAAGACGGGGACATTGAAGATCTCCCACCAACTGCAGAAGAAGGCGATGGCGATGGCACGGGTGGCCCAGTACCAGAACTTGAACTCGGGGAGGCGGCGAATGAAGGGCTTGAACTCCTCGTCCTGCTTGGTGGGGAGAATGCCGACACCACCGTCCTCCATCTCAGTGTCCATAGCCTCGTTGGAGGGGTCAAACTTGGGTTGCAAGAAGGCCAGGAACAAGTTGAGCAGGTAGATTCCGAGAGCGTAGGCGACAATGTACCAGCCCTGCGCCACGAAGATGCGAGCGAAGAAGCCCAGGAGGCAGACGCCCGTGGCGATCCATCTGTAAAGCACGAAGGGGGTTGACTGATCGAGAAGCGCCTGGTATTGCTGCGATGAGAATTAGCAAGATGTCGCTGGCAGACTCCGGGGGGGATTTATCGTCGTCGTACTCTTTGCAGCTTCGAGGTGTGGGCTGTGACTGACGAGAAGGCAGTCTGTTCCGGCTCGGCAGAGTCCATCTTGGGCGGTATTTGCGCGAATGAACGTTGATGTGGGATACTCGTGCAATAAGCTTGTTCGCGTGGGTTGGCGTGGATATGTAGCCGTTAACGAGGGTGCAAGTCTGGGATGACGATGCTGTGGGAAGAGGCCGCCGCTGCGCTGTCGCGATCTGTCAGGACGAATTTTTGGGTTGACGGGATCTCTGGAGATGGATTCAAGCCACGTAAGGCTTGCAACAAAACTGTCCCTTCCCTTTGAGATTGGCAGCGCGCTGCACCGCGCCTGCTTTTTCGCCCGAATCTTATCCGGCGCAGTGATTGGATTGCGCCCGTCAGTGATTGGATCCCCTGGAAATGGCCCGAACCAGCCCCTGTGGCGCAGCCTGCACCCTGGAACCAGCCAGAGGATCCGTATCTGCCCAGGATCCCGCTGCTACAGGTAATTGCAGTGTTGGAAGATCGAGCCTGTGACGCGGGGGGAGCTGTCACAGTGCGCGGCGAGTGTCTGTGCCTCGCCCGACTGTATCCTCGGCTTTACAGAGCCGATGCTTTCCAGCTATCCTCGAGCTTGGATCAAACGTCAAATGGAGCTCGACCTACCTGTTACATCACAGCTCCATCAACAATTCGTGTCATTTATTTCAGACGACATCTTTGTATCAATCGAGGCCAAGATAAATCATCTCGTGTTATACTATAGCTCACAACATAACATCTCACTCACATTGAGCGTCTTCCCGAGCTCTCATCTGCTTCACCATGAACTCACTCAGATACCTCCGGCCGGTGGCCTCGCGTATGCAGACGCCGACGCTGCCCAGACTCTCACGCGGATTCGCCAGCAAGACATACGAGTTCATTCAGGTCTCTCAGCCCAAGCCTGGTGTTGGTCAAGGTAAATGCTGTTCCAGCCGTAATCAATCATCACTCTACGACGACGACGCTCATCATGATCCACTTTAGTGACGTTGAACCGCCCCAAGGCCTTGAACGCCCTCTGCACTCCCCTCATCCATGAGCTCAACGATGCGCTAAGGGCTTTCAACGCGTCGGACGAAACGTCCGTCATCGTTCTAACAGGCTCCCAAAAGGCCTTTGCAGCCGGTGCCGACATCAAGGAGATGGCTCCTCTCACCTTTTCCGAGGCATACACCAAGTCCTTCATCGAGTCGTGGTCGCTTCTCACCACTGAGGTCAAGAAGCCCATCATCGCCGCCGTTTCCGGTCACGCGCTCGGCGGAGGCTGTGAGCTGTCCATGATGTGCGACATTCTCTATTGCACCGAGACTGCCAACTTTGGCCAGCCCGAGATCAAGCTCGGCACGATCCCGGGTGCCGGCGGCAGCCAGAGACTCACCCGGGCTATCGGAAAGTCCAAGGCCATGGAGTTGATCCTGACGGGCAAGTCCTTCAGCGGTGCCGATGCCGAGAAGTGGGGTCTTGCGGCCAAGGCATTCCCTTCGTACGAGGTTCTCATGGAGGAGACGCTGAAAACGGCAGAGACCATCGCCGGCTACTCGAGGGTGTCCATCAACGCGTGCAAGGAAGTTGTGAACAAGAGCCAGGATCTGCCTCTGAGGGATGGTGTCGAATTCGAGCGGAGAGTATTCCACAGCTTGTTCGGCAGCAACGACCAAAAGATTGGCATGAAGGCATTCGCAGAGAAGAAAAAGGCAGAGTGGACTCACTCTTGAAAAGCTTCATGCTTGTGAAAAGACTAGTTGTATGCGAAATAGCCGAGTCTGGCAAAGACATGATGTTGTGCAACCACGATCTTGTGCAAATGAGCGCGTGCGTGTGTTTGGGGAAATCCGTCAAATTGCTCGGCATGAATAAGACCATGTAAGAGCACACAGTCAGCCCAGCACCACCTTTTTGCTTGGCCATGTTGCTTTGCAGGAAAAAGGATGATGTTACTTTTCGGGGTCTCTCTCGTACAGCACTCGCTTGCATGCATGATGACTTTAGTCCCGAGATTCTTCGCCTGCCTTGGCCAATGCCTAGAAAACCACATAAACCACAGTGTCTTCAACCCTTACGAGCAGCTCATATGCCTCGCCGAGAATACGCAGTTTAAACCTTTAGTCTCAAGAAGTCCGGAGAGTCGGTGGGCGTTGAGTTCGTATTACTTGGAGCCTACAGGGGGCTAGCCCGTCCCAAAAAGTAGCGGAGGGGTTGCAATGATCTCAGCTTATTGGCTCCGCGTGGGAGTTGGGATGCTTTTTGAAGCTAAGGGCAGGGGTAGGGGTCGGCGGCGGGCGGGAACCAACGTGGGGTTGACACCCAACTTGGGGCGGCCAGCGGGCAGCCGGAGCCTGTAGGCCACTGGACCCGTCCCTTAGCATCCAATCCATTTGACGGGGTCACCTCACAGGGCGGTCTCTGACCATTTCTGACCCCGTACACACCTTTTCCCCTTCATGAACCCGTAAGCCTTTGAGCCTGTGAGGTGCTTCTGCTGCAGCGGCCACGGCGCGCCCAGCTTTCGGCCCCGCCACCCACCTCACCTAAGGCTCGCCTGACAGCCAGTCTTAAACCGACATGTTCCCCTCGCGATTCCGCTGGCCAAATCTCCTCATGACATTGTCTTTGTGTCCGGCAATCCAGGGATCGCGCGGAGCGATAGTTCCTGCATGGATTCCTCAAAGCCCGCACTCGACCTGGAGAGGGAGTTGACGTGCTCTGTAAGTGTCGTCTGATCCAATGCTCTGTAGCGTCGCCCTAGGAGAGGGGCACCTTTTTTCAAAACCCCCATTGGATTCTGCAGGACTCTAGAGATTATATGTGCGCTGACCGACTTTTCTTCTTGCCTTCTAGATATGCACCGAGCTCCTTTACCAGCCTCTGACTCTGCTCGATTGTCTACACACCTATTGCGGTGCCTGCTTGAAGGACTGGTTTTCTTTCCAAGCGCAGCAGGCCGAAAACTCACCGACCCCGCCCGCACCAGGGACAAACATCTTCACCTGCCCGTCATGTCGTGCGCAGGTTCGCGATACGAGGCACAATGCCACCGTCGCCACTCTCCTCGATATGTTTGTGGCTGCGAACCCGGACAGGAGGAGATCTGAATCCGACGTGGCGGAAATGGTGAAGAAGTACAAGCCAGGTGATCAGGTGCTGCCAGAAGTTAAGATTCCCGAGAGAACCCCGGAAGAGAGGCGCGCAGACGACGAAGAAAGGAGGTTACTGGAAGATGTGCGGGAGATGAGCCTCAGAGACGCCGGAGTAGACTCTTCCTCGGGACATCGACATCGACGGCGTAGAGAGGACAGCAGCTCTGCCGATGGACGAACCAGACGGAGCCGGGACCACAGTCGGGACAGCCGCCACACCCACAGACATGAGGGCAGTCGGAGACCGCGAGACGACGAAGGGAGGCCTACTGGGGACCAGCTGCAGCCGGATTCGAGGTCGGGCGAGCAAAGGAGACGGCGAAGGAGTGAGTCGAGACAGCGTGCCCAGGAGTCATCCGACATGAGGCGTCGGCAAATCGAGCACCAGTCGTCACTCAGATCACTCATAAGCTCGAGTGATTTGAGCGAGCGCGACGTGCAGAAGGAGATTGAGGATTTTGCTAGACAAATCCAGGAAGAGGGATTGTTGGATGGGCTCGATCTGGACAACATCGACCTGAGCCGGAACGATGAGCTGAGTCGGAAGATTACAGAAGCTTACAGACGACGGCAACGGGAGCGGGAGCGAGAACGAGAGCGCACCAGGGCCGAAGGAACGAGAAGAAGGGACACCAGTGGCCAGTCCAGGCACTCTCCAGATCGTGTGCAGGAGATCAGGTCAAGTGCATCAGACACAAGCAGGCCCAGTAGCAGGCAACGACCGCACTCAAGGTCAACTAGTGCAACTGGGTTTCCCGACGATCGCAGCCGGCCGCCACTCTCACAGAGCGCCCTGCATCTTGAAGTTCGACCAGAGGAGAGGCGGCGACGGAGGCGAACCTCGAGTGGCGGTCGCAGCGCGACGACACCCCTCCCAGCAACGCAGTCCGAGACCCGCGTCGCCACTCGATCGCAGACCGATCTGTCGTCACGAACACATTTTGGTGAAGCAGTCGCCCCGAGAACCGTCTTCACCGAGGCGAGAAGCTCGAGCACGCCATCAGTACCTACCACGACGCAGTCGCCGACGACCACCACTTCGCCAGCACCGCGCGAGCTGACCTTTGCCAACCGCATGACGAATTCTTCTGCGTTGGTGTCTTCCAACTTTGCCGCGTCTCCGCCCATAGAGCCGTTGTCGCCTCGGATGCAACGGCCAAACCGGCCGGCAGACTTGTCCATCATCAGCCAAGCAACTTCAGGCCCTGTCGGGCTAGGCTTGGGTTTGGGGATAGGGAGTCCGACCACCCCCGGCCATCAACGAACACGCTCGCAACTGTACCCGGAGCCCTCGATTACGTGTTCCCGCTGCGCAAAGCAGCATATCGAGTACGAGCTACACTACAACTGCGGCATCTGCGCCAGCGGAAATTGGAACATCTGCATCGACTGCTACAGGTCCGGCAAAGGCTGCTTGCACTGGTTTGGCTTCGGGTACGGAGCGTGGGCCAAGTGGGAAAAGGCTCGGCACACGGCACACGAGGACATACCCAGACCTCACATGCTGACGGCGAATCGTTACCTCCAGCCAAAGATCATCCCGGGTGGAGCGGAAGGTAGGCGAACTCTCACGACCGACGATCCGATGAAGCGGTTGGAAAGCGGCAACTTCTGTGCTCGATGCCAGGCCTGGGCGAACGAGTGCTTCTGGCGATGCGACTTTTGCAACTTTGGCGACTGGGGGTTTTGCAATAATTGCGTGAACCAGGGACGATCGTGCACACATCCGCTTCTGCCTCTGACGTACCAGCCTCAGCCATCACACACGCCACCTGCCAGTCCCAGGTCGCCTCAGCCGCCTCACGCGGCCGCTGTGCTGACGGGACCTAACATTCACAATATTGGCCCCTTTAAGCCCCTGACGTTCACGACGCGCTGTGACGTCTGCCAGGACCCTATCTC